CAACCCAGGTGGGAATAGGTTTCGTGCCTTGGCCTGTTCCCCCTGGGCCGCCATCCGTCTGAGGCCACTGGATAGTCACATTTGGGCCCCCAGTGATGAGACACACAGGGCCTCACGGGATGAGGGTGGAGCCGGGCTTGTCCTCCCCACCCCAACGAGACCCCAAGTCATCGCCCACGAATGGCCTCTCTGGCTCCTGATCAAGCTGCTTAACGGCCATGATCCCAGAGACTCAGGAGCACATCTCGAAACCCAGTGGCATTTGGCAGAAATGCATCTGGACTCCACAGTACATTACTGTTGCCGGGCCACCCCAGGGAGGAAAGGGTGTTGTCCCTCCGCCTGCTCCCTCTTGGCGACTTGGTGACTGTCATCCTCCAGAGGCCATTGGACAGTCAGGCTTGGGCCCGCAGTGACGAAACTTGTTGGGTCTCACGGGATGGGGGGGGGAGGTAGAGCCGGGCCTGTCCTCCCCACCCTAACGAGACCCCAAGTCATCGCCCACAAATGGCCTCTCTGGCTCCTCATCAAGCTGCTCAACGGCCTTGATCCCAGAGACTCAGAAACAAATATCGAAACCCAGCGGCTTTTGTCAGAAATGTGTCTGGACCCCGCAGTAGGTTACTGTTACCGGGCCACCCCAGGGGGGAATGGGTGCTGTCCCTCCGCCTGCTCCCTCTTGGCGACTTGGTGGCTGTCATCCTCCAGAGGCCATTGGACAGTCAGGCTTGGGCCCGCAGTGACGAAACTTGTTGGGTCTCACGGGATGGGGGGGGAGGTGGAGCCAGGCCTGTCTTCCCCACCCCAATGAGACCCCAAGTCATCGCCCACAAATGGCCTCTTTGGCTCCTCATCAAACTGCTCAACGGCCATGATCCCAAAGACTCAGGAGCAGATCTCTAAACCCAGTGACTTTTGGCAGAAATCCCTCCAGATTTAAGTGTTAAAATTTCAGAACTTCAAAACCACATGGCCCTACTGCAGCCACACGACATCATATGTTATTCATAACCAACAATAGAACACAAATTGTCTATTGTTGCCTTTTCAGCAGATCTGAGTGTTGGGGTAAAATCTCAAATAATGGTGGGTCTGGTGTCGAAATAGTGAATGTGATCAAAGTAGAGAGAGAGTAATGTGGAAATCATCTGCCCCACAGGCAGGGGGAGGGTGTGGGATGGGGGTATACTGGGATTTTTGGTGGTGGAGAATGGGCACTGGTGAAGTCATACAATGGGTGTTTCATTGTATGACTGAGACTTAGACCCAAAAGCTTTGTAACTGCTCTCACAGGTGATTCAATAAATAAAATTATAAAAAATGGAAAAAAAAAGTAAGGTGGAGTTCATGCACAATTCAATAAGCTAATCAGTGGCTGAATAAATAGCAGTACTCCTACAAAAAAAAATAAAAAATAAATAAAAAAAAACCTAAGTGCTAGAGATGCAGCTAGAGATACTTAAACTTTATAAAAACACAGGAATTTATAAATTTGCAAATTTTTAAGAGAAACAAAAAAAAGGGTAAATATCTGTTTTAGAAGATGCACAAGGAGGGGTGGTCTGCAAGTTATTAGGCATGATACTTTCCCAAGTACTTTGAGAAGCAAGATGTAAATCAATAGAATTAATTATTGGTGTCCTATTTATAAGATTTTATGATGTAAAAATATAACCAACATTTCCTTTCTAAATGTTTTAATTTCATTTATTTCTTTTTACTCGGGGCTGGAGCGATAGCACAGCGGGTAGGGCATTTGCCTTGCACGCAGCCGACCTGATCTGTTCAGGTTTGATTCCTCCACCCCTCTCGGAGAGTCCGGCAAGCTACTGAGAGTATCTTGCCTGCACAGCAAAGCCTGGCAAGCTACCCGTGACATATTCAATATCCCAAACACAGTACAATAAGTCTCACAATGGAGATGTTACTGGGCCCACTCGAGCAAACTGATGAACCACGGGAGGACAGTGCTACAGTGTTACATGAGTGGGAGGGTGGATCAAAGCTGGTGGGGCTTAAAGTAGTGTTTGAGTCCATGTTGGGACTCGAACCCGGTGTCCCACATGCAAAGTGAGCTTTGAATACACTCAGCCTACAGAGCTTTTTCTCCGGCTCAATATTGCACTTCCCAAGATACATAACTCTAAGTAATAATAAAAATTCTTAATAAGGTGCTGTACTTGATATATTATTTATGGATATAATAGTTATGAATACAAGTATAATTTTTTATAAGATCAGCCCCAAAAGATATGGGCTGAAAATTCAAACTGGTGAACTGAGCTTGGGCAGCTGAGGTTGTAAAGACTGCTTCCTGTGGGTCAGGCATGGCACAGGTGGCAAAAGAACCAGCTTACAAACTTATGGCCAGGAGTTCAAAACCCTCAGTCCTGCCCACACGTGTCTTACACCACCGCTGGCACCACAATGAGGTGTATGATCTCTAGTGCACTGAAGTGTATGATTGCAAACACAGCAACCAAATGTCAGAGCACAAGAAGTAAGCATGTCCCGTGTGGGCCCTAGTCCTCAAACAATAAAGACAACAAGGCAGGAGGGGCAACATCAGTAAGTAAGGCTGGAGAGCTAGCACAGGAGATAAAGGCTTGCATGCAATCAACCCCAACTTAAATCCCTGGCACTGCATATGGTCCTCTGAGCACTGCCAGGAGTGATCCCTGATGACAGACCCAGGAGAAGGCCCTGCGTACAGCCAGGTATTGCCCAAAAGCCAAAAAGAAAGAAAGGGGAGAGAAACCTTACCAAAAAAAATCATCTAAGTAAGGGCAGGGACAGGGGTGGGGGGTTGGTTCATGGTGGCACAGAGTGGCTGGTTCAAAGTGCTTTGCAGCTGGAGGCCTGGGTTTGATTCCCCCGTACCATAGACTGCCGGCCAGAGTACTGCTAGGAGCAATCTATCACCAGAGCACTGCTGGGAGGGGCCCCAAAGCCTCAGACTTCCCCTTATTGTATCCTTTCCCCTACCACACAAAAGGTAATATGAGGTTAAACCCTTATGCCTTAAAGGACCAGGCCACCAGGCAATTTATGGGACTGATGCCCACCAGTCTGAAAACTGTTCTTTAGAATAAGATTTTTTCTGGCTTTCCTTCGTATGTTGCTTCTTGGGCTCAAGCAGGCAAGATGATTCTCTAGATCCCAGGTCCCTGTCTTCCAACCTGCAGGCTTGTTTCTGTACCTATCACAGTGTCCGTGTGACTGGCTCTATTCAAGCAGTAGAATCAGACTGCAGAGGTCATATTTCTTGGTTAAGAATATAACCTATAAGGGCCTGGGAGATGGCTCAGTGGCATAAAGCGCCTGCCTTGGAAGTCTGAGGCTATGAGTTCAATCTCCAGTGCCACCCACAGGCCCTGAGACAGTACCCAGTAGGCTCAGCTATTTGGAACCCCCAGTACCACAACAGAGTGTGCAATCTCTGGCCAGGGTGTGTGTGTGTGTGTGTGTGTGTGTGTGTGTGTGTGTGTGTGTGTGTGTGTGTGTGATTAAAGTGCATGAGTACTGAGGCCAGCAGTTCAAACACGAGAGACCATGTGTGTGAGAATTCCAGCAACCCCCGGAGAGTGCTGCACCCAGAATGTGCTCAAGCACCACAAGTGAATGACTGGAACTCACAGCAACTGGCTATGTGACCCAATGTGACCCCTCCACGGTCATCACAACAGCAGCAACAAAATGAGAGAAAAAGAGGGCCCAGAGAGAGTGTACTGTTACGGTAAGATAACAACCCAGCTCAATCCCCAGCATACACTGGGTCCCCTGAGCACCACCAGGATTAAGCACAGACACAGAAACAAAGGCAAAACGAGAATTAACAGCAAGACTTTTTTAGTTAAACAATACATATTTTTGGATGTCGTATTATAAAGGGTTTGGGGGAAGGAATTGGTTTGTATTTAACTGGTGACTCTTTTAAAACACAAATTTCAGGTGGCAATCATTTTCAGTTCGAACATAGCATAAATCAAATAGCAATTTTAATCATTAGTGCCATACATGTATTAATCAATAAATAAAAATAATTTTTCATTTTTATATACATATAATAACACAGCAGTAGGGCGTTTGCCTTGTGCACAGCCGGCCCAGCCGAGCTAGGTTTGATTCCTTCACCCCTCTCGGAGTCTGGCAAGTTACCGAGAGTACCTCATCTGCACGGCAAAGCCTGGTAAACTACCCGGGACGTATTCGATATGCCAAACACAGTAACAACAAGTCTCACGATGGAGACGTTACTGGGCCCGCTCGAGCAAATCGATGAATAACCGAGGACGGTGACGGTGATAAATTTAAAAGGTTGGCAAAAGACAAATTTGGGGAAGAGATAATTTTCAATTTAAGGAGAACATTGTACAAATATGCATTATAAGACTCAATTGTCAATAACTGTAAATCACATTCTTTAATTTAAAAAAATTGAAAAAAAAATTTTAAAAATTGGGGCCAGAGCGACAGTACAGTAGGTAGGTATTTGCCTTGCACAGGGCCACCCTGGGTTCAATCTCTGGTATCCCATATGGTCCCTAGAGTGATTCCTGAATACAGAGTTTGGAGTAATCCCTGAGCATATCTGGATAAGACCCAAACATAGAAAACAAAAGAGTTTTACAAATTAAAATGCATCCAGGCTATTAAATTCCATTAAGTTTTGGCTATTATTTTGAGTTTAAAACACACACACACACACACACACAGGCTGAAGAGGCAGTATAGTGGGTAGAGACCTGCCTATGTTTGTACATAGGCCATGTTTGTACATGGCTGAGCTGGGTTTGATCCCCAGGAGCATATATGGTCTTCAGGAGCCCGCCAGGAGTAATCCCTGAGCTCCCTGAGCTCAGTCAGGAAGTAAGCCCTGAGCACCCCAAGGTAGGACCTCAAAACCGAAATACAAAACAAAACAAAACCAAAACCATCACCACACACAAAGACAACAAGTATAAAATGCAAATGAAAGATTTCAGCAAAATAAAGCTCACCTTGAGACTGGTATGTGAACGTGGTTGACTTAATTCTTGAAATTTCCACTGTTCTGATCCAGGAGTCTCCCCGCCTTTCTGAGTATCCGGTGTAAGTAATCCATCCCCAGGAGGTAATGGGAATATCCCTAATGATATAGGGCGTTCTTTTCTATTTGGAAAGGGAGAGGGAGGAAGTGATCATTCATTTGTTTTTGACCTGTTTAAATTCCTCATTACTGTACCAATAAGTCTGGTCTCTTACTACACCAACATACTCAGATACTAAACACTATATGCCTCTCTAAACAAGCGGACAGACTTACCAAAAAGTCTCTGAAGTCTAAATTAGCCCCAAGAAATCATCTAAGAAAATGATAAGAAACAATTTAGATTTCTAAATCTTCTAACTTACTGATGAGCTCCTCATCCAGAAAAGCAATCTGTGGTTTGACTTCAGAGCAAGAAGTTATTCAACTTAGTTAATCCTGGTGAAACTTTCAATGTATTCTCTGGTAATGACCCCAATCAACAGTACTCCATTTCCCAAATCCAAATACTAATCCAAGAAGTGTTTAAGCAAGTCTTCAAGGTAAAGAAAATCAATGGATTATATATATCAGGGCCACTGATTACATATTAATAAGTAACCAAAAGACTTTTCTCCCTTTTTGAGGGGAAGCTATAAATTTCTTCATGTATCGGTCCCTTTCAAAAAGTGTATGGAGGGAAGGCCAGAGTACGTGCCTCAGCGATAACAATACATGCCTACCAGTATGCAATCCTGGGTCTGATCAACGGCACTTCGAAAACAACAAAAAACTGTACAGAGGAGAAAATTCAGTAAGAGTTTTTTCAAGGAAGGAAGCAAAAAAATAAAAATAAGAAATCAATGAAAGAGAAGAATTTCCTAGGTTTTGTTGGGGGGAAATTTCAACAAATAATACAATTTTAATAATAAAAGAATTTCAACAATCTATACATTCTTAGTTGATGCATAAAGTCAAAGGAGCTTCTCAGAGGAAACAAGCCCAGTAATAGGTCCTTCTGGTTCAAGAATGGCAAGAAATGAGCTGTGAAAGGTTTGAGACCTCCTGAGACTCTTGCCTTTGTTGGTAGGAATAAAAGTACCAAATATTAAACATCAAAATGGAAAAGCACTCAATTTCCTAAGTAACGCTGACTTACAGCTTTTTCTTTTTTTGTACCTAAAACTTAATAAGACATTTCTGAAATATATCCTCACCTAACACGAAGGGCATGTGCCTCCATTCCCAAGGACCATAAAGGAATCATAAACTGTCAAAACACCTTAAAAATTAAGTGGAGAAAGGGATTGAGGAGGCTGTACATACATATTTATTAATATGTATGTTTAAGAGAAAACAGAAAAAATACTGTGCTTTATTCCCCTATCAGCTAAATTTTTCTTACTTCTACAGATCTGGCTTATTTTTTCCTATTTGTTTTGGAAGGAAAATTCAAATATAGGTGCACAGCTCGCTATAGGGCCAAATTTTAATACCAAAGCTAAGTTTGTGATTATAAGGTACTATAACCATCAAATCACAAAAAATAAAGGAACCAGTCAACTATTCATTTGGTCCAATTCTTCCTGAATGCTTGCTCACAACAGTTTTTATAAATCTATGGTAAAAAAGGGCATTATATCCCTACTGACTAATAACAGTGTATATAAACAGACATACATATAAATATTTCCACAGATCCAAAAATCTGGTCTTTTTTTATCTTTTCTTTTTTTTTTCTTTTTAAAATGTACTTTCATGGGCCAAAGTGAAACTACAGCAAGTAGGGTGCTTTGCATGCAGCCAATATGGGTTTGATCCTTGGTACCTTACATGTTCCTCCGAGCACCACCAGGAGTAATTCCTGAGCTCAGAGCCAGGAGTGAGCCCTGAGCACAACCAAGTGTGGTCCAACCCCCTCCCCTAAAAATAAAATGACCTTTCATCAAATGGTGGCAACAGTGATTAGAAATTGATTTATTTTGGGGGCAGGGAGATTTCTGGGCCATCCCTGGTCGCATTCAGGAGCTATCCATGGCTCTGCACTCGGGAATCACTCCTGGCACGGTTCAGGTGCAAAGCAAGCACCCTACCCACTGTACTATCTCTCTGACCCCAAGAAACTGATCTTCTTTTATTTTTATTTTTTTTAATGTAGGAGTACTGCTGTTACTGTGTCTGGCATATCGAATACTCTCGGTAGCTTGCCGGGCTCTCCGAGAGGGGCAGAGGAATCGAACTCGGGTCGGCCATTTTGGCCGCTTGTAAGGCGAACGCCCTACCACTGTGCTATTGCTCCAGCCCAGTAGTACTGCTATTTATTCAACCAAGATTAGCTGATTGAATTGGGCATGAACTCCACACTGATCTTCTTTTAAATGCTGATGTAGACAAAAAATTGAAAGTTGTTAGAATAATGTTTGCTTCCAAATTAGGAAGGGAACACATTTTGGGAAATAAAAATCTAAGGGTTTAAAAGCTACTAGACAAACTATTTTTTAACATACCACAATGATTTATTCAAGAAAGTGACAAATGTTTAGTCAAGTTCTCTAAGTCAAAATATAATGATCAGCAGGAAGACAGTGGAGGATTCATGTAAATTCTCTATAATACTAAGCAAAAGACAGGCCAGTAACAAGACTTGCCATTCTGTATGAATGATGCCTTCATTTTCACACATCAAAAACTGAGAAAGTGAAAAACTAGTGAGGAAAGTATACTGTAGATCTAAGTTTTACTTTCTCATTCTAAATGTATAATGCAATACACCACCAGTAGCAGTTTTTTATATTATTGCCTAAAAACAGCTGCATTAAACCACAGCATCCAAAAGGAGAGAACAAAAGGAATGCCCTGCGGGGGGGGGGGGGGGGGTGAGGGGAGAATGGGAGGGATACTGGGCTCAGTGGTGGTGGAAAATGGGCACTGGTGAAGGGATGGGTACTCGATCATGGTATAATTGAAACCCAAGCACAAAAATTTGTAAATCTACAACTGTACCTCATGGTGTCTCACTAATAAAAATTAAAAAAAAAAAACCCAGCTGCACTGCAACTTATGATTCAGAAACTACTCTAAGGAGAGGCAATTTTTCTTGAGACTGGTCACTTCTGTTATGAAGGTCAATGATGGGGGTCAGAGATAGTACAGAGGGTTAAAGTGCTTGCCTTGCATGTGGCCAACCAGGTTCGATCCCCAGCACCTAATGTTGTTCTGAACAACCTTGCAAAAACAAAATTACTGCGTATCTTCTCACCTTATTTTACTGACTCATATGTAAGAGTGAGGAAGAGGGAAGGAAGTAAAATTATGCAAATTAATTATAATTCAAATTTCAAAAAATTTCCTGAAAAAGAACATATGTACTATGTTGCTATGTTTATTTAGTACCACTGTATGCCAGAGTTCAGTAAAACTCACAGTAGAAACTTAAGAATGGGATATCTATGGAAAATAACAAGCCTAAGATTTTTTCAATGTTACTAAAATGTTTCAATATGTTAATATCTAGAAATAAAACTAACAATGCTTATTACATTTTTTGTAAATTGACAATGTATCCTTTTCTATGTATCCATTTCCGTTCTATGTATCCATTTTTAGTTAATTACTGAAAGAAACAATGTAGTGTTTTGAGAGAGCTTTTTTGGGGGAGGGGGCGGCTTTTTGAGGTGCTGGGGGAACATATGGGATGCCAGGGATTGAATTCCATCAGCTATGTGCAAGGCAAATGCCCAACCTGCTGTACTAATGCTCCAGCCTCTGAAAGAGCCTTTTGACTATACTCACACTTAAAACAATTAGTCATTAATAAAATCTACTACATAAAGGGCAGTAAAAAAGGATACAGCTGTTCAACACCTGCCATGTGACAGAGACTACACAAATGATTTATTTACAAATCTCTTTTAGTTCTCATGAGGAAATAAGGCTTATTTTCCCAATTTCTAGATTTTCCTAAAGTGGTGCTAAGACACATTAAACACTAAATAACTGACAGCGATGTGATTCAGTCAGGCTTGTAGGACTCCAAGATCCTTGTAATTGTACTTTATGTTAACTGAATCTTAATGTTTAAGACCTTGATGTCTTTGTTCAAAAGGATCAAAAACTTTTAAAAACTTAATCTTAAGTTATTTTATGGATAAATTGAGAAAAACAGTGCTGTTAAAAATGCAGTACACATACATGACTTCAAAAATTATGTATTTAATTTACTATGCATCAGGAAACTGATCAAATGCAAAATAATCATCTCACTTGCTTTTTAAAACTCTAAGGATATTAGGACCGGGCTTTTCCACTCTGGAGAAGCCCATGCTCTCTCTTGAACTCGTATCTTTCCCCCTCTTTCTCTTCTCTCACATTTTTCTAAATTCTTTAAATAAAACTACTTCACTAAAAGAAAACTGCAACTTGGGCATAAAAAAGATTGGTTGCACAATGTTCCCAAAGTCCCCTAGCTCACAGGAGCGCAGCATCTGACCCAGCAGGCCATCCCTAAACCCCTTTGGCACTTTCTCTTTTGAAGGAGATGCAACCAGAGGCCGCCCTTAAACACTGAGCTTACTTCAGGGTTCTTGAATGAAGTGCTTTTCCCCCCTTAATATACATGTGCACATGCATGCTCATATAGAAATGCTTTGTGCTATTAAAATATGCACAAGTAGTAAACCTGCTCCTAATTTTTATAAAATTAGGTAAGAATATAAGTAGCCAATATCTGGTTTTAGAATACAGACAAAATTTAATTCCTGGACCTTAGTGCCTAATGTGAATTATGAATAAAAGAACACCCTGAGGTAATCTACTACTTTGATTCATTCCATTTAAACTCACAATTACGATTGAAAGTAAACATTTAAATAATAAAAGCTATACATTCATTTAAAGTCAAATACAAAGCAGAAATCTGAACAAAAGAAATCAAAACCTTAAATGTCTGAAACGTCTGAAACGTAGGAAATGGTTCTTATGGGGTGTGACTGGAGAGTGGTACAGTCACAGAGATTAACGACTCCCCGCCAAATGGCATCAATATTTGTCAGCCAAGTCTACAAAGAAAGGGCAACCGAACACCAAACAATAGTGAGAGCCTTTGTAAAGCTTTCACAACTCCTGTCTCAGATGTGTGAATAATGGAGGGGGGTGGAGAAGAAATCTTTTCCTTGCTTAAAAGATTTAAGCTTCTTCAGTTTAAACTATGCCTTGTTTTAGAAGGAAAATCTTTGTCAGTTCCCATTCCCATGTACTGTTATCGAAAATTACAAAAAGAAGCTTGACCTCCATTCAATCGTAGGAAAATGAAAAAAAAAAAATAACCTGGGCTGAAAAAAAACTGACCTGTGCCTGTGTCCAAGCTGACAAATCCTGTAATAAAAGATATTCACCCCCAAATGCTCAATGCGAAACAACTAGGCTCTCAAACCGTGGGCGCAGGCTGCACGCTTGCTCTGCCTTTACTCTCTGAACACCGTGCTGGAGACAAGACCACATTGACCTTGTGCCTCTGTCTAAGCACGCTATCAAAATCCTCTCCTTAGGTCAGTGCTTTCCAAACACAAAGCCAAGCCCTCAGTGAGGATCTATAAATTCCTACATGTAAGAACAGAAATCCTAGCTTCAAGCCATTTCCCATTGTTTCAATCTGCAACAACGACAAAAAAGAAGATGGTTACAAAGCAGACCCAGGAAGCTAAAAAATCTGATAGAAACCGACTAAACAGGGGCTTCTAAGAGAGGCCAGAGTACCTGAGTATCCTTGGTAGATTCTGCGTCAGAGCTGGCACACCGGTAGAAATAGAAAAGTGCACAAGCAGCAAAACAGAGAGAGACACTAAGATAGCAGAATTAATGACCACCGCCCCGCCAACAAAGCCAAACACAAACAGCAGCATGCATCCAGGACTCATGGCGCTGTGCGGGCATGATGGAACACCCAAACCAGGAGGCCTACACCGGGGCCACAGGGGGATCTTGGTAGTAAGAAGCTGTCATTCAGCTGCTGCCACACAAACAATGCCATCGGCAGCAGCTCGCCACTCCATCCTGCAGCAGCTCTGAGGCGGTGACGTCATCCCGCTCTCACCACCTCAGAACCATAGAGCTGCCGCTCCAGGCTTTTATGCAGCAATCCAGAGCCACCGCCAGCCTATCCCCTCTTTTCTTCTCCTCTCAGCGTCCTGGCCCAACTCATTGGCTAGGAAGCTTGGAGATCTACATAATTTATTCACTCTCCTACATCAAACAGATGTCCAGCTAACCCTTTCAAACCCTTTCAAGCGTGCCTCTTTCGAACACAAAGGGCTTGAGACCAACTGCAGAGAAGAAATGAACAATTTTTTTGCATTAGGCAAATCAGAAAATATTTAACCTAATATAGTCTGTTAAATATATATATATGTATATGTATATTTAAAAGCCAAATACCTCACTACGCTGTTTCTTTGGCACAACTCACAATATACCTTAAATAGTGAAAGCTGTTTCTATCATTCTGTGCTATCCCATCCTATTGCATTCCAAACACAGAAGAGCTTTATGAATTGGCTTAACTATTATTCCAGGATTAAAGAACTGGCTTAACTATTATTCCAGGATTCAAGAACAGAGAAAACAGAAACATTATTTTCACTTTTTCTTAAGGCAAAAATATAAAACAAAGCTTACCTAATTCTACTATGAGCCGTGGACTCTAGTTGATCACTCCCTGTGAGTTGATGAAGTTTTGTTCTTTCCAAGTGTTCCATATAATTATGAATCATCTATTTTGAAGAAAGAAAAAGACACAAATTTGTAACACTAATACCTAGAACAAAACCAGTGTTTAAACAAAGAAAACACTTATGTATAATGTCTTTTTATCAGACTATGTCCACACAGCTCCAGGTATAGTATTTTAAGGATGAAAAATATATAATGGCAAAGGAATATATAAAAGCTTAAGTTTAACGATGCTGGGTACATAAAAGTAACACCTTGCTTAGCATGATAAAACCTTTCCCTTTTTCATAATACGTAATACTATTATATACTTTTAGCATAACAAATTAGGAGATAAGAGATCACTAAAAATAATAAACAGCATTTAAAAAATCTATTCACCAAGCTGGTAAGACATTAACATAAGGCTAGAGAATAAACCATACCCTTAACCTTTTTCGCTTTATAAAGGATTCATAAACATCAATTTCAACTTGTCATTTAACTGACACACCAGCTTATCATTTGTGTCTGCGTATTTAGTTAAAAGAATGCGATTTTTCCAGTAATTTATTAGTATCATTACTTAACAGAGCCATCTATTATAATAGAAGTAGCTTAAAACAAGTAAAATATAACATTTTGTTTTGGAGTCCTAGTTATGAAACCGGGGCTGGAGTGATAGCACAGAGGGTAGGTGTTTGCCTTGCAAGCAGCCGACCCAAGTTCGATTCTTTCACCCCTCTTGGAGAGCCCGGCAAGCTACTCAGAGTATCTCGCCCGCACGGCAGAGCCTGGCAAGCTACCCGTGATGTATTCAATATGCCAAAAACAGTAACAACTGTCATACTGGTGCCCACTGGAGCAAATTGATGAACAACTGGAGGTCAGTGATAGTGAGAGTGACAGTTATGAAACCATTCACCAGGAAGTGAAATTTTTAAGATTATCAATTATATAAACTATCAAGAAATACTAAAGAACACTGGATTCTGGGTAATTTAGTTTTACACTGGGGGGAGGGGCACTCACACTGGTGGTGCTCAGGAACTACTCCTAGCATCGAGGTTGGGGGCCACCTAGTGATGCTTGGTAACCATATGGTGCACAAAGCCTGCACTCCAACCCACTGAGCTACCTAGCAGGTCTTCATTTCCATTTTAAGAAAACAAAATCCAGGGCTAGAGCTGCAGTAAGGCACTTGCCTTGCACATGGACCCTACTGGGTTTAATCCCTGGCACCCCATATGGCCTCCTGAGCCCCACCAGGAGTGATCCTTAAGCGCACAGCCAGAAAAAAGCCCTGAGCACCACTGGGTGTGGCACAAATTTTTATTTTAAAACAAGAAAGAAAGGGCAATAATACAGTGGGTAGGGCAATTGTCTTGCATGCGGCCAACCCAGGTTTCATCCCTGGCATCCCATATGGCCCCCTCAGTACTGACAGGAGTAATTTCTGATTGCAGAGCCAGGAGTAACCCCTGGGTTTCACTGGGTGAGACCACCATCCCCTACCTCCCGCCAACAACAACAACAACAACAACAAAAAAAAAACCATGCAAGAAAATTAAATTTAGGAGGGTTAGAATGACAGTACCAGGGAAATGACAAACTTACTTACTGTAAGGATAATTATCAAGAGATAAAACCCTTGGGGCCAAGAAAGGGTACAGCAAGTAGAGTGCTTGCTTTGCAAGTGGCAGACCCAGATTCAACCTCTGATAACCCATATGGTCCACCAGTAGTGATTCCTCAGTGCAGAGCCTGGAGAAAGCCCTGTACCCCTCCAGGTATGACCCAAAAACCAGAGAGAGAGAGAGAGAGAGAAAGAAGGGAGGGAGAGGGGAAAAAAAGAGGGGAGTGGTGTTGGTGGGGAGAGAGAGAGGGATGGGGAAAAGAGGGAGGGAGGGAGAGGATATGACCCTTAACTGTTTTTAATTTAATTTTTATGTGTGATGTCATAAACTTCACATGGGGGCCCACTTCTACCAGTACTCCATCTTCTATGCAGTACAAGGCTCAAACCCAGGATTCCCACAGGCAAAGCATACCTTACAGTCCTTTGGATCAACCCTGCCCCTAAAAAGCAGGTTTTTGTTGTGAAAAGTTTGATACACGTTTATAAAACTTATGAAACATAGGAGACCTAAGTTCCATCCTGACACCACAGTGTCCCCCAAGCACTGTCAGGGATAACCCTGTCCTAGACGGTAGCAGTCCCAATACCACTGAGAATGGCCCCCAACAAGACAAAGCATCAAGTCAGTATGAAAGAACCATTTATTTCAAGTAAACAAAAGTGGAATGAAAATTCTAGTACAGGAGATAATCCAAGTGTGTCTGACCCAGGTTCGACCCAACATCACAGGGACTCCTGAGCATCACTGGGTGCAATCTGGGAGACCCCACTCCCCAGCACTGCCAGCGGCCCTGGTGGCCCAATACTGCAGGGCCTGAGCACTGCACTGCCTGCCAGTTGGTGGAGTGTCGCTAGAAGCATACCTAGGGCCCCAGGGCACCACCTTAGGAGGTTCTACTACTACAATGACATAAAATGACAAATCAAATCTACAAAGTAATCAGTCTGTTTCCCAATTAAGAATAGTCTAGGGCTAGAGAAATTGGGAGAGGGGAGGGTCGTTAGGGGGCAGGGCAAGACCCATTGGTGCTCAGGGCTCTCCCTGTTCTGTGCTCTGGGATCACTCCTGGCAGAACTAGGAGGACCATATGAACTGCTGGGAACTGAACCAGGGTCAGCTACGTGCAAGGGAAGTGCCCTACCTGGTTTGATCCCTGGTACTGCCAGGAGAGACCTCTGAGTAGAGAACTAAGAGTTAGCCCTGAGCATCACTGGCTCCAAAACAAAGGAAGAGACTAATGAAACAAAGCGGTAGGTTACTGCATCTAAATTGAATCCCATTTTCCCCTTCAATCTATCATTAGGCTTTGGGCATTGGGGGTGGGGGGTGGGTGAAGGTATGGGCTCTCCACCAATGATACCCAGCTGTGCTGGTTGAGAGGGGTCATGTGGAACGAGGTTGGAAGCATGAGTTTCAGTCATTTGGACTATCTAAGTTAGAGAATTAAACAGTATATAAGTTTAATTCTTAGATACTGTATAGTAATAATACAAAATTGACTAGTTCAAGTGGGAGAATCTAATGTTTCTAAATATTCAGATTAAAAAAAAAATCCAAAAACCAATGTCACCTAGAATGCTTTAAACTATCCAATGAGAAAAATATAAACATATAAATAAAATGCAAGGATGGAATCAGTTCTAACCCACCCTCAAATGGTCTACTCAGTAGATTGATTGCTGTCTTTATTTTTGGTGGGAGGGGGGTGTTGGATCTCCACCTGGTAGTGCTATCAGGAACTATTTCTGGCTCTGTGGTCAGGAGTGACCCCTGGTGATATTTTGCCCAAAATTCAAACGAGGATCAGCAGGAACCAAGGGAAGCACCTTAATCGTGCACTATCTCATCAATCCTGATTCCTGTCTTAAAAGATTAAAATTAAAACATTTTTGAATTTAGAAAACACTGGATTCTAAACCTTCTCTTTTATCTTCTTCTATTGTTATCTACAATGATTAATCCCAAATCATTGGAGACATAGTATCTGACATTCCAAAATGGTCTTTTATCGTGGAATTGATTACAATCCAACGAAATAAGCACTTAATGGAAAGATGTTTCTGAATAACTACAAAACTCTAGCTGACATTTACTGAACATTAGAAGTCAGTGAATTTATAGCCATTGTATAATTTAATCCTTACAATATTATAATTTTATAGAATAAAATTCAGATTAAAATAACGTACCCACTTTGACCAGCTAATTAATGATTAATCATGTTCTAATTGCCGCTAATTAGCTAGCTGGCTTTAATCTCAGAACTCAGTTCTATCCAATTCAGTCATCAGAATAGTTAAACATTACAGGGCTCCTGTTGTATCTGCCCTTTCAGTCAATTCTCTAGGCAGTGAATTCATTGTTCTTCCTCACGCCCACAAGAAACCCCACACCCTAAAGCATTTCCTGACGTTGGACAGAAAATATGCGCTACATTCTACAAATCTACAAAAAAGAAGAAAAAAGTTAAATGCACATTAAAACTTGATTGACAAACGTTAGAGATAGTACAGCAGGTAGGGTGCTTGCCTTGCACGTGACCAACCCCAGTTCAATTTTGAACACCCCGAATCTGCAAGGAGTGATCCCTGAGTGCAGAGCCAGGAGTAAGCCTGGCTTACTGGGTATGGCCAGAAAATTACAAAAATAAAATTTGAAATTTAATTTTAGAACTTTATAACATTAACTGTTTGTTTTTAAGTGTGAGGACCAGAGCAACAAAACAGTGGGCAGGGTGTTTTCCTTGCACGTGGCCAACCAGGGTTCAGTCCCTGGCATCCCAGCTTAATGCAGTTGCCTTGTAAAACACTTAGAGGTGGAGGCCCTGGCTTCAATTCCCAGCAACACACACACACACACACACACACACACACACACACACACACCAAACAAACAAACAAACAAACAAACAAAAATCCCTAAATTAAAAAATATAAAATTCAGGGCCAGAGAAACAGTCCAGTGAGTGGGTGAGGTACTTGTCTTGCATGCAGCTGACCCTGTTTTAATTCTTGACAAAATAGATGGTACCACACACAAAGCTATGAGTAATTACTGAGCACAGAGTTGAGAGTAAGCCCTGAACACTTAAATATGGCTCAAAAATATTAAAATAAAAATTAAATTAAGTCTCTAAAATGGGGATGATTGGCCAACACCAAAATCCCAACTGCCAAGCCTCAACTCCGAGTGCTTGCCTGAACAAGCACCGCCAAAGGAGCACAAACCATGGCAATCAGCATGTATGAGCATGACTTACAGGAGACTTACAGGAGTACATGCCATTGCTGCTCATTGCAAGAAGAGCAAAGGGAAGGGGAGTGGAGAAAGAATTGTATTCATAGTTTTGGTCATAGAGATTCATACCTCTCTCCCAGTGAGGCTCAGGGGGCCATATGGGGTGCTGCAGATTGAACCTGGGCGGTGGCAGGGAAGGAAATCACTCGACCCACTGTACTATCATTCTGGTCAACAGTAGAAGAGAATTTTTTAATATGATTTTTTAAATGGGGATAGCTGAGGCAGGGCAATAGTGCAGGGCTGAGCAGAGGCTCTCCATGCGGGAGAGCCAGGTTCAACCCCAGCACTGTGTGGTTCCCTGAACACTGCCAGATGTGCCTCAAAAATAAATGTGCACACCACATTTTCTAATCTGCTTTGAAGAAATTATGTGCTACAGCTGTTCATTTAAAATACTGAATACGCATACAAAAACATGGATTAAAGCCATTTGTATTTAACATACAATAACTTATTTATCTAATTTGTTGAGTTCACTGCAAATAGGTGCTTTATACTGGGTTATAAAGACTCTTACCAACAATTTACCAATCCGTCGTTGCCCATTAATTACAAAATAAATCAATCCTCATATTACATCATGTGTATTTTTCACTATGCACAAAGCCAAAAATGAACTATTGAGACTACCTTAATAATTACATTATTCTGTGGGACACCAATTCACCACATGAAACGTTAATTCCGGATAAAAAATATTTTATATCAGCATTTAGTAACTAACAATGCTCCAAGAAATTTAATAGTACTTCTAAGAACTATACTATATGATTTTCAATGAAAATATAACATAATATTTTGCAGGATTATTGTCTTTTCTCAGTATTTAGCATCACAAAAGAAACCTGCTACCCACCTCAGTGTGTCTTTGATGTAATGCATTATATTCCTTCTTCAGTTCAGCTTCTCTTTCTTCAAGTCTGCTAACTGAAATCAAGATACATACACTTAATCAAAACAAAATTAACGTACTCAAAAATTGCATCTCTGAAAGCTCATACAGTCTATCCATAGTACGTGGCAATAATATTTTGGGGAAGGCCACACAGGGTGGTAGCCCGGGGACCACAAGATGCCTGGGGTTGAACCCACGTGGAAACCGTGCACTCCAGTCTTCTTGGACTACTTTCAGTCTCAGTGTTCCACAAGAAATCTTCACAGTGCTCGTGTCCACATCACAGAGTTGGGGTACATGGAATTGAAAAATGCAGGCCAGAGGCCAGGATAATGTTTAGTAGGAAAGTGCATGCCTTGCATGGAAAAGACCTGGATTCAATTCCCAGCACTATAAAAACAAAAAAAAAAAAATAAGGGTCTAGAGAAACAGTGCGAGCACTCAGAAACCTGCCTTGCATGCATACAGTCAAGGGTTCAGATGCCCGGAGCACGCATATGCTGAGTGCGATCCTGACAGCTCTACAGTGGAGGACCACAACAACAGATGTGCAAGTGCTGTGGCCAGAAATATGACCTCTGGTTGTGTGAGCACCACACAACCCCTGAGGAGCACCATCACCACAACTAAGAGGGTACCCAAATGTGTAAGTACTGCAACACAAGAAGTACAATCCCAAGTGAGTACTTCCGCCAAGTGTGTAAGCACCCCAACCTGATGTGCAACCCCTGGCAGCACTTATTAAAAATAAATAAATAAATGTGAGTGGCCAGAAAGATAGTACAGAGGTTAGGGTACTTGCGTTGCATGTAGCTGACTCAGGATCAATCCCCAGCATCCCATATGGTTGCCCTGAGCACTGCCAGGAGTAACTCCTAAGTGCAGAGCCAGGAGTAACCCCTGAGTATCACCACAAAGTCAAAAACACAATGTTGTTGAGAAAGCATACTCATATACAACTCTCTCTCTCTCTCTCTCTCTCTCTCTCTCACACACACACACACACACACAGGCAAAAGATAAAAGAAAGGAATGGGAGAGAAGGAATTGAAAACAAAAAATAGCAAGGAGACCTGAGAGGGATGCCGGAGTAGAATAAGGCACACGCCATGCAGGCAGCCAATGTGGGTTCTAGCCCAGCACCACCTGGTCCCCGAGCACTGGCACAGGGTCTGAGCAATACCGCAACCCTTGGGCCCTCACACTGAACTCCAGGCCGATGGGCTGTAGTTGCCTCCTGAGCACTGTCTCGGAGGCCCAAACAAGAAAAGAAAAAAAAAAAACAACAGTAAAATATCCCTGAACATCATATTGTACATCATAATATGACTGTGTTTATCTGGGCATTCCCTTAATGTTTAACATGATATAGAAATTACCTCTTATCATTTCATAAGGGGCCAGCGTGATAGTACAGAGGGGAGAGCACTGTGCCTTGCACACAGCCACCCAGGCTTAAGCCCTGACACCCCATATAGTCCTCTACAGGACTGATCCTTAAGTGCAGAGCCAGGAGTAAGACCCAGGCACCACTGGATGGGACCCAAAATCAACAACAACAACAACCACAAAACCCAGAACCCCCCCCCTCCCCAATAGCTTAATAAAAGCCTTAACTTGGAGACAGGGCCTAAATTATTAAAACATTATTCAAACTCTTTTCTACTAATAAGGAGTATGTGAAAATGCTATTATTTAAAGTATTCTGCTTTAGGGCTGGAGCGATAGCACAGTGGGTAGGGCGTTTGCTTTGCATGCAGAGGAACCGGGTTTGATTCCCAGCATCCCATATGATTCCCAGAGCACCACCAGGGGTAATTCCTGAGTGCAGAGTCAGGAGTAACCCCTGTGCATTGCCAAGTGTGACCCCCCTTCCCCCCACCCAAAAAAATGAAAAAAAGTATTCTGCTTTAGGTCTTAATTTCAGGAAACTCTTTCTTTAGCTCCCTCTGCTGACAGAATCTGTGCGTGGCACTGTTTGGGAAAGTAAATCCAGCCAATATACAGTTACTTAGTTTGCTTTTAGGTCACACCCAGCAGTGCTGGGGAGCTCAGGGATCACTTACAGCAGTGTTTGAGGAACATGGGGTGCCAGGGACCAACTCCAGACCTCAGCTCACTGAGTTCTCTCTCTGGTCTCAGGATACTTTATTTATAGGTTTCTGGCTCACAACTGGCGATGCTGGGGTTACTCCTGGCTCTGCACTCAGTACTTACTACTGGTAATGCTCGGGTAGTGCTCAAGGTCCATACAGAACATTGAGGATCAAACTCAGGCTGGCCGCATGCAAGACAAAAGCCCTACCCGCTGTACTATCTCTCCTTCCCCAGGATACTTTATTAAGCTTTCGATTCCAAGACACCTTACAAAATATCATGGCAGAATTTTATAGGGAAGGATGTTATCATAGAGAAATTATTCTCAGAGCAGGAAGAGCCCAAACAGGGCTGTAAAGAAATCGAAGTGTTCAAAGACACACAGTGACAAGAGATCTGGGTGTCATTTACACCTGGAAGGAAGGGCTAAAGGAAGCAGGTGGTGGGTGAGGTGCAGGAGGGGATGGGCTGACCTTTGAGGCCTCTACTGACTGTGAAACAGGAGACAAGGACACAGCGGGGGCAAGAGGAGTCTGTCAAGATTCTCGTTTAAATATGCTTTAAAGGAGTGCGTGCTTTGCCTGTGGGGGGCCTGGGTGCCATCCCAGACACCACGTTGTCCTCTGAGCAAAGAGCTACAGTGGCCCCTGAAATCACAACAAATGTGCCCCCCACCAAAAAATAAATAAATATATATGTATGTATATATATATATTTTTTGCTTAAATGTCTTCAACCAGAAATGTTCTCTTGGTGTAAGGATCTGCAGGCTGCAAACAGGCTCAGCTATTTAGGTAACAGCCTGTGACTGTCAGCTGGCTGCAGAACCACTATGAACAGCGTACTCAGGACTGTTCTGACATGCTTAAATGCTGACACACCAGACACCAAGCAATATACAACTTACGCTGCCTGACAGTCATGTTAGATTTGTGTAATTTTATTTGCCACCTCTGTTTGAATACCTTGGAAATAGGTCGCTAGCTCTGACCAGTTTCTAATCACGGCCATACGCTGGTCCATTAAATGTGCACCAGGGAGAAAATGTATACTACAGTGCCCAGGGATCATACTGTATCATGCCAGGCAAGGGTTAAATACACAAGCTGCTCATTTTACCCTGTAATGAAAGCAATAATAAGCAATGAAGATGTATTGCGATAACACTGATAGTAAACCTATGGTAATTTTTAGGGTTGCTTAAAATTACTGAATGATCCTCTCTCCGCAGTGGGAAACCCCTGCCCACACCCCATCCTCTGACAGAGAAACGGTCTGTAACTAATGTCAGTACGAATATGGTGCTCTGACTCTCCCCAGGTGGACCAATCAGGGCTGAAAATTCTGGGGCCTTCACGGAATGACAGAAGACTGATGCCCCTTTCTGCCTGAAGGCAAGCAGCCCCTGGCCTCTGACATAGAAATGGCCTGGCTGGCTCCAACTGGCCCTCATCAAACTGCCAAACCATCAAATTGTTCCAGATCTATGGCACCTGGAGCAAACAGCCACATTTGCAGCTGCACAATATCTCTAAATTTCAGTGCTGTCAGCTCAGTAGGACCACGGTGAATCTGAGAAAGTTGCAGAGAAGACTACCAAACTCAATCAGTTAAAAGAGTAACACAAAAGGCCCAAGAGCACCAACCAGATGTACAAACGCTCAGATAATGACTTTAGTAACACCACTGTGAGATAGACGTTATTACAAATGGGCTTTCTAAATCTATTTATAATAACATTTGCCTTTGTGTTGTAATAAGCCGCATGAAGTAAATCTGTTTGCCTGCTAAGGAGGCAAGCTCGGTGGTGGGTGGGAAATTGTGGACACTGATGGAGGGAATTGGTGCTGGAACACGGAATGCCTGAAACAACTATTCTGGATAACTTGGCAAATTATGGTGCTATAAATAGTAAATTTTCAATAAGAAGTTTTACTTAATTAAAAAAAAAAAGACCACTTAGGAGGCAGGGAGGCAGTGCAGCAGGCAGGGTGCTTGCTTTGTACACAGCAAACCCGGATTCAATACCTGCCAACCCAAGTTCAATATCTGGCCCTACATGTGGTCTCCAGAGCAGAGCGCTCTCTGAGCTCAGAGCCCGGAGTAAGCCCTGAGCATAGCCATGTGTGGCCCCAAACGAAAACAAAACAAAGCAAAATAAAAACTGTTCAGTGAGGAGCCAGAGAAGTAGTACAGTAGGCAGGGTGCTCGCCTTGCACATGGCCAACCCAGGTTTTAACCGGAGCCCCCCCAGATAGACCCCAAGCTCCACTCGGAGTGACTGCTGAGCACAGAGCCAGGAGTAAGCCCTGAGTACAGCCAGGTATGACCCACCACACACCCAGACACCCCTCTCCACACACACATACACAAACCACTGAATGAGAGCATGGGAGCTGGCTCAAAGGGCTGGAGCTCATGCTTCACACGTGGGAGCCCTGGGTTGAGAGTAGCCCCTGGGCAGGACCAGAGATGATCCAAACAAAAAGATTATTAGATCCAATATGCTTATATTGTGTGTTACTGCTTTGGGGCCACACCCAGGGGTGCACAGTCTACTGTCCGCTATGTGTCTGGGGGACCATGTGATGCTGCGGATCTAACCTGGCCTTCCACATGCAAAGCATATACTCTGGACCTGTGAGCTATCTCTCCATCCAAACGTTATATGCCTTTTAACAGCTCGACTATGTTAACCACAGGGCTCTTGTTTAGAGACAACCAAACCAAAATTTGGAGTCTTGTGCTAAAATGATCATAACTATAATCCACAACCCTCCATTTCAGATTTTTACTCTATAGTTGAGTCTCACCATTCTCATCAGATAGCTGATAAAGTGACTTCATAAGTGCATGGAAACCAGCATTACCACCAAGTACAGCTACGCAAAGTAAAGGCTCATCCTGCCGAGATACACCCTGTTGACAGAACTTT